ACAGCAGATTTAGTGCAAGTTCAAAATTAAACAGAAATGACAGCAGAGAAAATATTACTCAGTTCAAGACTTCAAATTGAGACAAAGATTAGAGACAATATATTGGGGTGGACAATGTTAACCCCAACATCATAAGTTTGAAGCTTTGTTAACAAAAACTCCAAAAACATTTATGACAGGTTAAATTATTTTAAGAACACATTTCAACATGAAATTCACACATTGGCAGGCTTTTATTTCAGCTGCCCACACAACACACTTAAATAAGATCCACATGCCTTATCCAAACTCTGCTTCTATAAACTACAGATCTGAGGTATTTCAAAGCACTCATTTCTGTTTAAATATAAGCCAGAGCGGTAGAGACTAAAGGACGTATATTTTAGCAGGAACGGTTGTTCAGGACTGAGGAAGAGGGGAAACTCGTAAGCATGTAGTTTAACAAGACGTGGGAAAGAAAGGGAAGGGGGTCACTGTAGGAAAAGTTCAGGGGAACAGTAAGGTGTGACATGCATAACACAGCTAAGGTCTATCAGATATCGATGTGCAACATGAATGGCACACCATGCTTTTTCTGCTGCTATACCTGCACACTGACACCTCATTTCTGCAAAAGAAATCCATGGGAAGCAAAATCAGGAACAAAGGATGAAACAAAAATAATTAATATTTTGAGAAGTCAAGAGTCGAAAAGAAAAGATCTCTGAATGGATTTTAAGTGAGTGAACTAAGAACCAGGTCAATGAAACCTCTAGACTGCTGGATAGTGTCTTTATTTAACTGAAAGTATTATAGGCACTAGTTAGTTCTTACATGTATGGCATCAATCATTCCAGCAGGAGTTTAAAATTCAGAGATCTATTCTGGGTGACCTTAGGCTAATGTCTCTCGGAGGGTAAAGGAGTAATCAGGGTTTTAGTTAAGCAAAATCTACATCAACAGAGTTCCCTGATTAGCTCTGAACTGTTGAATGAACTGACTCTAAAACACCATCATTATTCAGTTCAAGTAAGTAAAGCACAGTAGCAGTGAGTAGTATTAAAGGGATCTCTAGTGTGGGTGTAAACCAGTGGGTCAAACAGTCTCACATCCGATGCATCACGGATGCATCATGTACATCCAGAGGGAAATACATTTTTTTTTTACTCTCATATGGGTCAGGTGGGGGTGTAAAGGGAGGAGTTAGATAGTATCTATCACTCCCAGATTATCTGCACACTGCAGTTAGTCTACTTATGAGCAACATTTACCTTCTACAGTTCCCGAAGAACATTTGATACGATACGGAAGATGACAAAGGAAATTGAAACAGTAAAAGAGTTGTGAAAAACAGATAGGCAAGGTAGGAAAATATTTGTGCAATGAAAATCAAAAACACAAAATTGAACGAGGCCTTTGCTTACTTTTCTGCTCCCATTGCTTAGATAAGGAATGACCATAAATCAATTCTAAATCACAATACTTATGACTTATTTCAAGTTTCTGCATCGATCAAAAAGACATGGTTGGTGCAAATTGGTTTTGCAACCAGTACAGACAGTGGTCACAATACCTTCTTGCCAGCAGCGCCCACACTGGCCTTCTTGATGCCTCGTACTTTCTTCATTCTGTTCTTGCGTTCCTTGCGCTGTTTTCTTGAGGACTTCTTTTTCTCATAGAGACCGTGCTGAGGAAGAGAAAAGAGCGGTTCATTTCACCACATCGAACACAAAGTTACATTTCCCAATCATAACCTGCTAAAGTTCTTAACACTTTCACAATCACACCACTAACATGTATTGGGGGCCTGTGAGCAAGAATAATTTCTAGTCTTACAAAATATGCAACACTCACTTGTATATGTAAAAAAACACCTAATTACATGCCCTGACAAGTGTTAGTGGCTAGGCTTTATAACTCAAAATTATAAAAAGGTGTTAGATAACCATCTCCACATGGATTGTAAAACACTTTTTAAATAACGTGACTTCATCATGTAGAGCATTTAGCAGCCCGCAGCAGGGAAAAACTAAAGCGCGCCTACAACCGATGAAATCTTTGCTGAATGGTTTCCCATCAAACTGTAGTACCTAAGACTTCTCAGTAGCTTATTGCTTTGATTTGTACAATGGATGAAAAACTAATGCTAAAACATCGATACACTCACTGTTTGTGAACTAGCAAATGGCAACATTCAGACAGAGACAAGACAAATGTGCATAACTCACCCTGGCCAGTCTGTGCTTGGGCTCGTTCTTCTTAGCGTAGTCTAAGGAGTCGTAGACCATGGCAAAGCCTGTTGTCTTGCCGCCACCAAACTGAGTCCTGAAGCCAAAGACGAATACTACATCAGGGGTGGTCTTGTACATCTTGGCAAGTTTTTCCCTGATTTCAGTCTTGGGGACTGTGGCCTTGCCGGGATGCAGGACATCGACGACCTACAAAGAGGAAAATAAAAGCGTGATTGTTGGCTGAAATTAAAACACGGGACAAAATAAACAACATCATGAACATATGAGGAGTTTAAGAGCTCACCATTTGCTTCCTCTGAAGCAGCCTGTTCGTCATGAACTTGCGTGTCCTGACTGTCACTGTGTCATTCTGAGGAGAAGATTGAAATAAGACAAGATAAACCTTTATTCATGTAGGTGTTCCAGCAGCCAGCATACATACACCACATATACATCCCACCCATTTGTTCACTTCTGTTATATTGTATAGTTTCTGCTTGTCGCATGTCTACACTCATGCACTTTAACTTATGTCAATACTGTCCATCTACAACTCTGTTATTGCACATTTACATTCAATCTTCCATATTTAAGACTAGTAATGCTTAGTGAAATCCTGGTTGTATATATTCACATTCTTATTTTTGATATTTTATAGTGCTTATTTACTTTGTAGTTAATATTATATCGTGTTTAGATTTGCTAACATTGTGTGTTTGGATAACCTGCTGCTGTAACGCCACAATTTCCCAGTTTGGGATCAACAAAGTAATTCTATCTATACAAAAAACATGAGCCCACAATACATAGCCAGGATTAAAAAAAAAAGTGTTATGGATGGTCCATGTGCATAAGTAGCTGTTTCTCATAGATAACAGAAAACACTAGCTCTGCCAGAGAATAATATTAAAGATAAATAAAGAATTATTATAACAAAAAAGCAGTCAAGTGTGCAAAATACAGCTTGATATAAGCAGCTCAGGCTTAAGTTTACAAGTTTAAATGTTTCTTGTCTTTACTTAAAAATAATATCAAACACATTTCATCATTTAAACAACTCATTCAGTCTTTTCTTCACAAACACTGAGAAACAGAAGCTACCAGCAGCATGTAGGCTGCAGCTAAACATCAACCTCATCTCTCAGCTTCTCTGACAAACTTCCTGATGATTAAAATCACGGGAAACGACCCATGCTTGATTGGATTGCACAACATTTCGTTTTCAGCCCTTTCAGAGCCGAGCAGCTCTTCTGTTATTGAACACGCTCGTTTGACTGTAAACGACGGCCTCACCGTGACTGTCACTGCCGTATTTGTTAGCATTAGCTGCTACAAAGTACACTATAAACCTACATTAATTAAAGTTAGCGAGTCAACAAGTATACAAGACACACATTTAGGTTTCTTAACAGCACTTAAACCAACAGTGGCTCTTATAGGAGACATAGTTTATAAGGTAAATAGTGTTTAACGTCCTGATAGGACTCCAGTGAGGGAATCTTAGCAATCTGGATGTTGTCGTTTTATTTACTCCCAGATTGAAGTTGTACATCAATATTATCATTTTAATATAAAACACACACATATGATCACTTAACGGCCGTGAAATGCGTGTAAGCGAAAGGATGGCTTCGATGATGAACGGATTTTATTGATAATTTTTTGTCTCGACACTCACCATCTTGACGCCGGCCTCGCTCAGGGACGTAGAAAAGGAAGAAGGACCCGCAGGTGGCCGGATTAATGCCTGCAGAAAATTCAGTGGGGCGCGCACTTGTCTTGCCTGATGTAAAAAAGGTAAACGGAATTTCTTCTCGGCGAAGATTTTTTTTTCTAGTAAATTATATATAAAGCGAATACACTATAGGTATTTATTTTATGTTTTGAGTATAAAATATGTCCAGAAAATAAACGTATTTAGGCAGGCGTTCAACAAAATATTATTATTGAAGCTATCCGATCAATAAGACGGTAGAAATAATTAATAATTAATACATTAATACTATTATAGACGTGGTAAATGTTAAAAGTAAAACTATTTAGGGTAAACAATCGACTATAATAATTACACTCTTGGGGGTACACTGACATCTTGCAGTCCCTTGTCCACAAGATGTCAGCCCTGCAACATCTTGAGAGTTATGCTTAAATGTCTTAACACAACCTGGTCTATGATTTCAAAGTGTCAGTTTGATTTTTAGTTAAATCTATTTTATTTAGGATTTTTTTTTTTTTTTCCACAATGAAGGAATTGATCCAGTTCATTTACAACACATATAACTTCAAGAGTAAATTTCATCAATAAAATAAACAACCAATCTGCATGAACCACAGTTTGAGGACATTTGGAGTAAGGGGCTGGCAACCATTGGTTTGGGATGCACACACTGCAGATGTTCTTTGGGAGCAAAAAAAGTGTGTTCACTGTGGAAGAGATGGGCCTATCTTGTGTTTATCTACCTAAATGCCAATTTCATGCAATAAGACAGACTATCAGCAGTTATACCTGCCTGACAAAAAGAGTATAAAGAATTATTGGGTGCAATAATACATTATGTGTCCAAAGAGGTTCTAGGATATTTTTAGTTTCATTATCTGTTATTGCAATGTGTCATTCCAGATGTGGAAAGAGGGATTGAGTTTTTCTTGCACATAAATTACTATGAGTGTTATTAAGGTGAACAGACGGGAGAGACTTCATTGTTGCAGTCCTGTTTTGTTGTTTTGTAATCGCCAAATTTGCTTAAACAAAATCCAGCAAAACAAAGAACAAAAAAACATAACACCTCATTTTATTTGTTACGGAACTTTATTGATCTTGCAGCAACAATGTCCAGTGGCATTGCAGTTTCATTTGAAGTTATTCAAAATCAGAACAGAACGTTACAGTCATTTTTATTTCAAATCTCCTTCAGCAAACAATGTTAAGCCCTCATTGTCAAACCAAACAGATTTGAAATTCTGAATTATGATGCCAGATACAAAGAGTTTTACCGCTTTAAAATGTGCAATGCAAAATGGGTTCAAAACAAATCCCTCAAAGTGTTGGTCAGCAAACATGACCATGAATGACAGAGCCAAAAAGAGAAAAAGGAAAATCTTCGATAGACATCAATCCAGCCATTCAGTGAGTTCAGCCATACAACTGAAAAACAGGACATTCGTGGAGATTTATTTGCCCAGCTGCATCTGGTGTATATCAGTATAATAATCAGGCAGGACTATCATTGTCGTGTAAAAAACTCCCAACATATTGTTGGGATTGCAGGAACATGTGGCCACATTGCCATCTGAACTGAAAAATCAAAACATGAGATTTACATCATCAAACTTCAAACTTCGCAGCTGCTGTCTGAAGAAATGAATTAGGTCAAAAAATTGTTTTGTTCAATTGCTGATTACAACGTTACCTGTTCAATGTTACAGTGAAAAAATAAAAATCTGTTTGAAAGTACAAATTGACGACAAGGAACCAATTCTTACACTGCATTGATGTGAAGTAAGGCATGGGTAGGCATGACACATGAACTATAAAGGATACATGAAGGACACTGGGGACAGATGTGTAGATCATGGACAGCATCTGTCAAACATCATGCAAACAATGTCTTCCAAACTCCTTGACATTTAAAATAAATGCTTGACAGTGCTTGTACCCAAACCAATACCCTCAATACTGAAAAACTGTATTCAAAAATAAAATGCATATAAAACATCTGGATCATTTCAGTTCACCCAGAAAATGAGCATCGGACTATAAACCATTTCCACAATATTCTAAATGCTCTGAATATTTAAAAACACCCGGCAGATGTGGCAAAGTTTCAAATGAATTCATGTTGGAATTATGAAAACTAATCTCTTGCCTAAACCAAAAGTAACCCTCAAATCTGAAAGAAAGCGTAGAAACTCTTTGTGGCAGGAGAGAAAGGTTTAAAAAGATTCATTACAAGGTCACATTTGAGCTTGATTGTGTGTCTTGATACTGTTATTCTATAATGAAGGGTTACGGTTAGGGGGGTTACCTACCCGAAGTATTTCTGTAACTGATACGCTTGTTTCAGATTTACAATGAGCTTATTTTTTGGGGGGGGAAATAGAAACTTTTGATTATTACAAAGCAATCAAAACCGTAGCCTTAAGTTCGTTCATAAGAAAAGTTTACCCCTGAAAACTGAAAACTGTGTTGGTAAAGGATTCTTACATCTTGGAATGGCATGAAAACGTCACCTTTTTGCTAAATAAAACACACACAGCATCCCTTTACAGACCATCACAGGAAACCAAACAGACCAAACAACCAATATTAGATTGTGGAGCTTTTCAAGTAGTTCCAAAAAAAACTAAATCACTTAAAGAAACATGCTCACAAGGGTCTTCCAAACCAAAGACTGTGATGAATATCAAAGCTTTTGAGTGATTCTAAGGCCAGGTCCTAAAATTGCCACTTATTCCACACAGTGTCCCTTAATTATTATGGAATATTATCGGATGTACAGTGTGCTCTGTTTATAATCTTGACTTGCAGAAAGCTGTATGAGCACTGCAATCTACCAAATGGACAATCTGTCTGGGTAATCAATGTTCAGGGCCAGCTCCCTGCTGTGTGGTAGTGACTCTTAAGCATGGAAACCAATACAAATAAACCTAGCTTCCAGGGCCACGCAGAGTTTAACCTGTATGTATGATGTACTGAATCCCCGAAGTATACACACACACACACACACACACACACACACTCACATACATTACATCCAGCAGCGAGACAGAGAGCTAAAGAAGATGGCTGCCATGAGGGCTCACAACATTGGTTTCTACAAGCCAAGCCTCTGGCAAGTGTAATGCCAGGTCATTTTCTTCTGTTGGTGGCGTTCCAATTAGTTAGATGTCCATTTCAAACTGGGCATCATCACCTTTAAAACAAAGAAAAAAACATGAACAAGTTGTTGAGACAAGTATGGGAAAATGCTGTTGTTTTTTTTTATAACTACGGTGGACTTCAAATCAGATTATCACACTACAACAACAAAATAGAAAACACTTGCTTCCTTACATAAACAAGTTACTTCTCCCCTTTTGTAAATCTTACCAGTTGCAGGCTTGCCATCACGGTTGTTGATGTGGTTGTTGGTTTCGTTCTTCTTGTTCTCGCTCAGGACATGTTGGCTGGTCACCCCGGGGATGACAGGCAGGTGAGCAGGGGGAGTCTGGGCGATGGGAGAATTACGCCTGTCCAGCAGGAACTTACGGTCATAGATGATCCGGGTTCCTGCAACAGCCCACGTGTTAAGTTCTTGTCAGTTGCGTTTCTCAAGACATTTAAGTGCTGTCAAATGTTTGTGAGTTCAAAGACAGACTTGGATTAAAGCCCTCCTCTTTTGCTACAAATCATCTAAAGTTAAACACTTAATGTGGTTGTACACCCTCCGCAACTCGCCATGTTTTAATTTGCAATAATCAGTGTCTCCAAAAAAAGATACTGTGGCCAGGGAGGTACACTGTGTATGCCAGAGGGGTGGGCCCACATGCGGCCCCCATCAACCCCCAACGTGGCCCTCAGGTCAATTTTTACACATCAGCTAATCGGAAACATGACAAAATCTGCCATGAAATCATGAAAACCAGAAATATGTCCATAATAATATTTGATCACTGGTATATGTTGAGTTAAATGTGAGACATAATTGACTGTAATATTTTTGTATTCTACAATTTGGCCCTCTGGCAGTGAGAATTAAATGAATGTGGCCCCTTGCTCTGACCAGAGTTGCCCATCCCTGGTGTATGCTATTTGTTATAAAATACCTTCAAACCTAACAACAACTTAGGTGGCCCTACAATCATTTAAATATATATAATATATATATATATATTATGATGAGAGGTCCACCTGTGATGTTTTGTGTAAAAGAATTGATCTCTTCATCATCTGATTGTACCTCATTTTTTTAAACAAAAAAAAAAAGGTAGCTGTAGTTTGTCTCTATTTCAAACAATGTGATACATATATGATGTCATATTATTTATCTATTTATTTAATAGGTCTCAAAATCTCTGCGCTGTATATAAGCCAATCAAACCGCAGCCAGACATTGTGGGGGCGGGGCTTAGCTTTGTTTTTGTTTTGATCAGGATGACAAGGCAGCTCGAGCCAGTGAAATGATGGGCAGTAAGGGGTTCGGCAAGAGCTAAAACAGCGCAGTTGTCTAAATATACTCGAATTTATGAAGTAAGGTGTCAAAGTAGAGATATATATCCCCTTACCTCCGGGAGTGGTAGAAAATAAAGTGCCTCCAGGGGTGGTACAGTAGTCATGAGGTAGCTGCGTTGTGTCGTTGATCAACACCGTCCTGGTCGGGATGGCCCTGCTCTCGCTCAGCTGACGAATGGTAGACATCTTCAGCGCCGATTCGGTGACAGATTCAGCAGCTACAGATAAATGGGGGTGTTGAGATCCCGACGGACGGTGGAAACCTGGGCCGTTCCCCTCTCTCTTATAGCTTCCCTAAAGCTTTCTTGTCTCTCCTTTCGTCCTCCCAGCCGTCAGCACCGTCCCCTCTCTCGCAAAGGCAGGAAGCACGACCCGCTGCGCCGGGATGTGACGTCCAGGGGGAGCCAGGAAACAGCCAATGGTGCATCAGCTTGCCCCACAGCCTTGTTTTTTATAATATTCACTTTGGAAAACATTTATGTTTTGTCTTTTTTTTCCTCCTTTAAAAAAAAACTCCACAGGCAGTTAAAATTCGAGCCTGAACCATATAACATATTGAAATATGATCAAATTTAGATGGTTAGAAAACACTGACTTCTTGTCCACCAACACTGAAAAAAGATACTAAGAACATGTACTATTTAAAGTGCTTTCCTGTATTTTCACTGTGTTTGAAGCAAAGCAATCAGATGTTAACATTAATGTACAATATACAGTTTATTGTACAGTATATAGAGCTTTATATTGCACAAGCACAGTTCACCTCCCCAAAAGGCACGATGGTGTCTGACTCACTGTCAAAAAAGCTTAAGGCCCAATCAAAGCGTCACTACATATCATCCAGCAGTCTGATGACTGATTGGCATGAGCTAATGCAAATTTAGAAGGAGGCAGAGGGGGCAGAAAAGACTTGTCTTTATGAGTGACAACTGGCTACTGATAGCTATCTGCCCACAAAGCTTTCTTATTTTGAATGACTAGATTCGAAATATAGGCAAGATATTCTGATTCTTCTTTGTAGATGTTGAATTATTTTGCTAGCACATGTTTAGAATTGGAGTTGACTACCCTAACAAGCAAGTAGGACCACTCTAGTTACCTTACAATGGATAGGGGTAATGATTCACGTGGAAACATTTTTATACTCATCAAAATCGTGGCTAATACATTACAACAATTAAAATTGACAGGCATTCACCTGAAGATGAAAAGTAGCTGAGATGGGGATACCTTTTCACAGTCGTAGGTTACAATGTGCAATTGATGACAGTAAAAAATGGTAGCTTTACTTAATAATCAAAGAAAAACGTAAATTACAGATAAAACCTTTGGTCAAGTTAATGTACTATAAAGGGTTCAATAATTAATTCAGTGGCATTTACATCTTTATCTGTAATTGAACCTGATATTTTATTACATGACTATATTTTGTTCCAGTAAAGAATATAAGTGACAAAGTTACTATGAAACAACTGTAGTGGAAAAACTACAATTGTGAAATGTAGTTTTAATTTTAGAAGAGTAAAGGTGTAAAAGAATCAGTGAGGCGAAGCACGGCGACTTTATAAAGCACATTTCCCCAACAACGTAGCACATTTCAACAAGTAGGTCAGTCAGCTAGGTAAAGGAAAGGCGGACAGGGCAGCTCGAAATTGCACAAAGGTAACTTTCACATTTGTTTTCTACAAGGCTACACTCGCACTTGAACTACGAGTTTTATTGGTCATAATTCCGACCGCCCTAAACGCACCAGAAAAGTGCGCATGCGCTGTGCCCTCTTGCCTACAGTACTACCGAGTACTACCCCAGTGGTTTCTTCCGCCGCCGCCGCCATCCTCCATCCGACACCTAGAAAGCAACACAAACCTTCATCTAAAACATGAGCTACACAGTGGAAGAGAGGGGGAACCCGAACTCCCTGAGCTACCGCCTGTTCTTCAGTAAGTAGAAACGAAGTGCGCATGTCAAAGTTTCCTTATTGTTTGCTTCTTTTCAGGCTTTCCGTAAACCACTCACACCACATAGACAGGCCAGCTGCAACTTCCCACGTGTCACCTATTCATTCATTCTCTTTGGGTTGTTTTATTAAATCAGTAGCATATTTCACACGTGTGTTTTTGAATCTGCAAATCTGCCTTCACATCGCTTCTCATCCGGGTAATTGTAATGGCTTGGTGTGAACTATTTTTACGTGCGCCAACCAGTTTTGCCGGTTTTGATGAGTACCGCAGGTCCTGGAGGGATGATTGGATTTCTGACATGTAATAAATACTCCAACACTCTTGCCTGATTTTGATGAAGAAAGTTCCTTATGTCGGGTAATATTGCAAAGGGCTTGACCACGTCACCTAACATAAAACAATAAAAGCTTGTTGTCTGTGGGACTACGCCCTCTGTGTTCATAATATGTGAATAACCCATAGACTGGATTTTTTTTTAAATCCTTATGAATGTCAGGTCTTCTGAAGCTCTCTCATAGTTTAGGGTCATACTTTGATGGTTTTTGAAAGATGCACCCAAGTCAAGTCTCAAGTCAGTCAGTGACAAGTCCTCATCTCTGAATGCACACAATACTCCTTAAAACTTACACTTGTTTATTGTTTTTTTTCTTCCAATAATTATGCCATTCAAAGTGCTTCAAAATATTGGAACAGCACATCCAAAAGTGTCCAGATTGAAATAGATGTTTAAAATATATGAAACGGCAAAAAAAAAAAGAAAGAAAGAAAAGACAGTGAAATGTTCAAAGTCACTAAAGGTCAACACAAGAGGTATACAATTGAAAACTTATCATTAAAGCTGTAAAACTAAGGAGATTAATGATGTGGCTCCTTAGATAAAAGACAGACTCAAATTGTGCATAGAAAGTTTTGCTTTCAAAATGACAACAGAGTCGGAGTGTCTTCGATCCTCACGGGGCCAATGTGGATAAATTCAGACTCCCTCTATGCTTCATGGTAGAATAAAGAATAAAAATTCTGATGAAGCAGGAGTAAGGACTCTAAGCATTTGCTGCTGCATCAAGCAGGGCAGAAGTTTATGATTGGTCCTGGCAGCTAAACTTGCACTCTCAGCTCTGTTAGGTTCACTGTCATAGACTTGTCATTTCTACCATCTGCCAAAAAACTTACCACATTTATTTTCTCTTCTTTTTTTTTTGGACAACTTAAGCCTGAAATCAAAGGAAGCCATTATGAAAATCTGTGTACTCCCTTGGCAATCCACCAAACATGATGATGACATAATACTTGTCCTTGTGCAGGACACAGAGTTTTTTAATAGACTCACAGACATATGATATGATACTTTATCTTTCTGTTATACTCATTACCTGATTAATCCGACTGTGTTACAGAAAATGCTGAAGGAAAGTACATCTCACCATTCCATGACATACCAATCTATGCTGACGAGAGCAAGGTAAGATAGCACCTGTCACCTTTACCCCAGTAAATATGTGTACCCTACAAATCTACCTACATGTTGAATGACACCTGCAGTGCTGCCGTGGATACAGAGTTTACTTCAACTTCAGTTTTATCAATCACAGACATGTAACTATTTTCAGTAATGATTTCCCAAATGTGCAGTGTCACAGTCTGTTTGCAAAAGGCAACGGCCTTTACTCTGTATTTTCTCCATGCTGTGTCAATATGGCCTGTGATTGCAGAAGATCATCTATTATCCTGTCTCTGTGAAATGAAACAATTAATCCTATTTGTGGAAAGTGTGTGACCAAAGTGGAATCAAGGATTTTGTCAGCATGGGTTTTTAAATTGTCAACTTAAGTCACTTGATCATTTAAGGTAATTGTGTCTGATTCTTGTCTCTTACAGGACATCTTTCACATGGTTGTTGAAGTGCCAAGATGGACAAATGCAAAGATGGAGGTATAAAGTCTTTAACACTCTTCCTTATTGTTCTCTTTTGCCTGTGGTTTTTTAATAATTAAGTACTCTCTGCCACATGAGTTCATGTTTGTGTGTGTTGACCCCAGGAGGAGTAGTTCCTGTCATGATGTGGAGATAAATAAAATCTTTAACTAAAACAAATCAAATTAAAGAGATGCATTTTTAGCGGGGCCACAATGTACTTATCAGTTCATCCAGCAGCTTGTGAATCATTTCATGAAGAGAACATGAACATGAAATCTGTAAGCTGACGTTTAATCAAGATCTTATATTGTGAATAACTATTTTTAGACTTTCAGAGTTAAAAAAATGGAAACGAAGTCGTGCAAATCAATGTAATTGTATTTAGACTTGAACGGTTTTCTTTGCTACAGAGAAACACACATTTTATTTTAAAACCAGTTGGATTACTTATTTCTCACATTTGACAACAAGGATATCTTTTATTTTCAGATTGCTACAAAAGATCTCTTGAACCCAATAAAGCAAGATGTGAAGAAAGAGAAACTGCGATATGTTGCCAACGTCTTCCCACATAAAGGCTACATATGGAACTATGGAGCCATTCCTCAGGTACGCTTTTTGTTTGAATGATATCAGTTACTCCTGTGACGGTGTGAGACCAATCCTGCAGAGCTTATTGAAATAGACAGCGGCATAATGCTTTTACTAGATTCTTCTAGCATGTTCTTCTATATTTCAGACATGGGAAGATCCTGCACACAAAGACGGAGACACTGGCTGCTGTGGCGACAACGACCCCATCGACGTCTGTGAAATCGGCAGTAAGGTACAGCACTGACAACCCTGTTTGCCTGTCTTCCTGTACAAGCCTAATGACAATCAAAAAATCAGTATGATACTGCTTACGATAACAGAAGTGAACGGCCTGCTGAAATGTCCTGTGTAGGTGTGTTCCCGTGGCGAGGTAATCAAAGTGAAAGTGCTCGGGATCCTGGCCATGATCGATGAGGGTGAGACTGATTGGAAAGTGATTGCAATCAACGTAGAGGACCCTGAAGCCAAAGACTTGAACAGTAAGCACCTGGATTTATTCAAGCCGCCCCCCCCCCCCATCGTTTTGCCTGAGTTTTTGGTCACTCATTATCTGAGTTACTGAACTTGTTTTCCTTCATGTTTTAATCTGTTATCAGACATCAGTGATGTTCGGCGTCTGAAACCTGGTTATCTGGAGACCACGGTGGACTGGTTCAAGAGGTACAAGGTGCCAGATGGGAAACCAGAAAACCGGTTTGCTTTCAACGAGGAGTTCAAAGACAAGGTGTCAACCTACACATTTTGCTGATTCATTGTTTTTAATGTTGATGCTATTCTGCCTTGTTAAAATGTCTACTCTGCGTTTGTGCCGTGTTCATACTTCAAACAGATGAATAATATATATTATGTCATTTTACAGACATACAAGTCCCTGCAAATTGTAGTGAAAACTTTTCCTCCTTATTTTTCAGGACTTTGCCATTGAAGTAATCAAGAGCACCAACAACTTCTGGAAAGCCCTCATTTCCCAGCAGACCAGTGCTGGTAAACTGCTCTGGTAAACACTGTTCTTTCTCTTAAGAGGCTACATCTAAACATACCGTTGTTTTTGGAAATGTGCACACTAAACTGTATGCATTCATGGCATCTTGGTTATAAATGACTATTTATCTCGCAACACAGCAAAAACACGTGTGTCTCGGAGAGCGACAGCCCGTACTGCTGCTCTGTGGATGAGGCTAAAGCCGCTGTCAATGAAGTAAGATTTCATTCATTCCTTTTTTGCAACAAAAAAGACTTCTAAGAGTTTTAGGTTGGACTTAATTTCTCCATGATTATTCTAACATAACTAATGTTTCATTCTGTTTTTAGACATGTCCTTGTGGAAAAGCAGAACCTATCCCCTCATCAGGTAGAGTTTCTAAAAAGATTGCTGTAAAAACAAAAGTCCAGTTTATTCAATATCTTCTAAACTTGATCAGATTGATGTGAATCTGATACCTATTTGTTTATTGTATTGTGTTTTGTTGTTTTTTTTGCAGTTGATCAATGGTTCTACTACGAGAGGAAATAAATGCGGAGCTGTTTGGATTGGAGCAGAGTGAAAGGATCATCAATTAAAGGAATACTTAGAATAGATTGTCTTACTCTAGGAACCAATAGGGTGAAGGGATGGGATATGGATGGTGAGGCTTGGGTCAGCTGTTTCCCTGTAGACAAAGAGAAAGTGGTTAGATAGTGTAGCAAAGAAAAAAAAAGTAAAATGTCTCATGTATTGACCAACGAAATTCACTTATTTAACAAGGATCTTGGAGATTTGCATTCATGAATGACATACAGGTACAAATAGAAATGCCTTATATAAGATGCTGAACTCCTTTAAAAGATCTTCTTGAGTTAAATTATTGTCACTGTGTAAAATGCCCCCCGCTTTTCCAGCACTGTAAAATAAAACAATTGCATAAAACTGCTCTAGATTCTAAATACATTCATCTGTTGCTTTCAAGACTTCAAGTCTAATGAAAACATCTGTTTGTGTGAGAGTTGTCAGCAATATTTTCTTTACATTCTTAACAGATGTCTGTGGTCTATATTTCTCTCATTGTTACAAGGCTGCCCCCTAGTGTCCAGTCCCTTACAATTCCTGTCTTCTGCATTTTTATGGTGACATGGACGTTACTTTATGTCAGGTAATTCTGTTGGCATTGAGTCTCATTATACAGTTCTGGGAGGTAGAATCAAAGTTTAGATGCAAAAGAAAAAAGGCAAATCTGATTCAAGGTTTTGTTACAGCATTTATCTAGATTTGTAATTTAAGGTTTTAATTTCGGAAAATTTAAAGTTGTGAATGAAACTAGATCAAAACATTTTCAATGAAATTAAGTCTTGGATTCATCCATTCAAAATAAAATGACATTGAAGTTCAACTTTAGTTCTTATACTAGTTACTGTATAGAAAAACAAGTAGAAGTACTTGAATCAGATTTACTTAATTAATCCTTTAAGGGAATAATTATAATATAACACTTATAATTGCATTAGAGATTGAATTAAATTAAACGTCCATATAAGAAATAGGCCATAAACAATAGGTAAATACGATTAAATATACAACACAAAGAAATACGAATAACAGTAACAAAGCGCAGAGTTACCGAGGTGAAGAGATTGCAAGTACGAAATAAAACATAAAAGGGGTAAATAGTTGCACTTTTGCAAACGCACACCTGAATGATTAATTGTGATGTAAATTTAAAAAAAAATAGCGAGATTCTGTCTATGTCGACAAGCTTTTTTGTGTTTTGTTAATCAAACAAGTTAAATGGAAAAACTAAGAACGAGATATCGTCGCCCCTCTTGCGCTGTAATCTAGTGACGTAGTTCCGGTTAACTGTCAAACTTGTGGGCTTCATGTCAGTCGACGGGACAGGCTTGGACCAAAAACCAGCGGCCGGCAGCTTATTTTATCGGCAGTCCAAGGTAACACCCGAATTAAATATACCACTGACTATTTTTCAGTCACTACATCCATATTAATTCCTGTTAATTACTTTTTGAAACACTTTTCAGACGTCACTGAGCAACGTTCAGACCTCTTCGAGCTGTTTTATTGTTTACTAACTCGTCATTGTTTACGCTGTGCCAGGTGATGTCTAGCTACTTGTGTGAAGCCGATCGAGGCAGAAATGATGAAATAAATCACTGAAACCATCTTTTCTGAGGAGTAGACGTTCATTTAACGGTCTGTGAGGTTTTAGGTGTTGTATATGGATATTTGTAGGGGAGATATGCATAACAACCTGCTGCTATTTATGGCATAACGCTTGTCAGGGTTGCCTCAGTGGAACATGCCCCTTATGTTATAGTTTTGTGTCAAATGACGTGGTAATTAAATGCTCTACTTTATGAATGGCGTTTGCTGTTTACAGATTTACTCAGTTTAATAAAGTAATCAACAATTGTGTAATTTCCAGACGCTTTGGTCACTGTGGCCTCACATCAACAAGCACATCAAGTCCCATATAGAGTGACAGGTGTGTGTGTGTGTGTGTGTGTGTCTGAGGGAGTGAGAGAGGAAAGCATGAGGGGACTGCCTAGATCAAGTGTCCTTGGCACAACCTGTCATAAAAATAGTCAGAGGAAGATCAGTGAGACAGTTCTCCAGACAAACTAACATCTGAAGCCCGTCTGTTGCTCAGTTTGCCTTCCTTCCCTTTCTTACTTTAAACCTTGTGTGATTACACACAGCTTACACATACCAGCAGAGTAATCCAGGGTCAGGAATAACCATTAACAATGAGCTTCAGTGCACGATTCTGCAACACAACCATGTCCTTTTGCAACAGTATATGAAATGAATCGCGGAAAATGTGCTTTGATATTATTATTTGGTGTAAGACTGGAGAGCAGGCATCAACTTTAACGTAACCTCATCACTGAGAGGTTCCTTAGGTGTCTTTTGCTGCGTTCTTCTTTATTATGGCAAATCAGTAAATCATCTCGTTATTATAATCTGTATTACAGGTTGACAAGAGAAATGTCTTTTATATTTGATTGGATCTACCGTGGCTTCAGCAGTGTCTTGCAACTATTAGGTAAAGTATTGCACTTGATTTACTCTTGCATGAAAATATGTCAATGCTCTGACAAGATAAGGCAAGATTAGGCAACTGCCTAACATGACAGACCAATGTGACAAAAATAAAAAAGCGTCAGCAGCTAATGAACCACACACTGGGTCTATACATACATGCATACGGTCTTGTCGGATAGGAAGCTTCTCAAAGTGTCTTTAGAAAGTGTGAGAAACATTTTTAGGCAGTAGGTATTTGAAAAAAAAGATATTCCATTCTGAATTACTGTTTGTGCTTTTGTTCGTAGAGGTAAAGGAAACTAGGGAAGTACAGAGAAAATGTCTTGCATTAAAAAATACAGTGTATGAAAAGAATACAGTGCGTTTGAATCAGTAGATCGGTATGACTCAAAAAAAGGCTATTTGTAAACTCTAAATGTACACTTGATAACAAAGGTTATTTGTAAACTCTAAATGTACACTTGATAACAAAGGTTATTTGTAAACTCTAAATGTACACTTGATAACAAAGGTTATTTGGAGTCATCAGAAATGTACTTTTGTTTTGTTTATTTAATTATTTTTCACATGTTTTTTGACAAACTTCTAAAACAAGATACCAATAAATGATAAATACCACAAACATCTTGTGTATGTCATCATGTAAACAGGGTTCCTGAGGATGATGAACAGACTATTTGTAATTACAGCTGATCTCCTGCTCTTATTAAAGACTCAGAAACAAAATAGAAGTTTATATGGAGTTTTATGAAATTATCATCTGCTGGTTTTCTATTTATCATCAGGGTTGTACAAGAAGACGGGCAAGCTAGTGTTCCTGGGTCTGGACAATGCTGGAAAGACAACGCTCCTGCACATGCTCAGAGATGACCGGCTCGGACAGCATGTGCCAACGCTACATCCAAGTACAGCCGGCGATTTCACATTGTCAGTTTTAAGCAATCAGCCTTGTGTGTTTATCTAAAGTCAGGGCTTCTCTCCTCTGTCCTCAGCATCTGAGGAATTGTCCATAGCTGGAATGACCTTTACGACATTTGACCTTGGAGGTCACACACAAGGTGAGATAAGAGGATATCATTTTGATGCACTTTCAGCTACTACTTGTTTAGAAAATGTTGGATTGTTTTTCTCTCGCAGCACGGAGGATCTGGAAGAACTACCTCCCAGCCATAAACGGTATCGTCTACATGGTGGACTGTGCTGATCATGAGCGACTAGCAGAGGCTAAAGTTGAACTTGATGTGAGTTCCTACATTTCCTTCTTGTATATTAAAACACGGATTAAAGGTTTGATATAAATGATGGTCTCTCTATATGACACTTCCTGTCTGCAGGCCCTGCTAACAGATGATACCATCTCAAACGTGCCAGTTCTCATCCTGGGAAATAAGATAGACCGCCCTGAGGCCATCAGTGAAGATGCACTCAGAGGAATGTTTGGTCTTCATGGACATACAACTGGAAAGGTAATGATAATATGCTGATTGGTTGTTTGGTCAACATTTAAAAATATAAATAATTTCATATATATTTCTCAATTTATGTATATATTTCTTTATTTGTGAGATAGCATGACAACCAGAACTGACCGTGAGACAATGGACAGTCAAATAGTCAATAACATAAAACATTTTGAGTTAAATATGTGAATGTAAAATATCATTCTGGATCAGGTTAGTGTGGATGTGAGAATGAAAGACATTTTTCATTTTTTTTATTTGTGGGTCACTTTTGGATTCATATGTATGTTGTAAAATAACACATTTTCCCTTTCTCTGTTTTACTCAAAGACATTTTCACTGAATTATAAAAAAAATGAGCTTCATAAATGTGTCAAGGTCAGACCTACCTTCCTTTCAACAGGGAAGAAAAATGTGTTTTTACCCACTGTTGCTTCCAGATAATTAAAAACTGTGTGTTTCTTTTACAACACGCAAATCTGGCTTGCCAAGGGCAATCATAACTGTGAATGAAATACTGTGACAGTGGGGGGGCAATACCTGCTTTATGCAAAATGTTCTTCATTAGTGTAAATCTTGTTAACCGCCTTCTGTTTCTCTGCAAAAAACAAGAAGCGTGCGGCAGAAAGCAGGATGCAAAAGTGACAGTGAATCATTGAGTCTGACCAGAGCTCTACAGAAAATACACTAAGTCCTTAAAGTACAATAAATAGAATCACATACTGTTCATACATTTGTATCTACTGTGAGTGGAAATCAAATGTTTTGATAGGGATTCAAATGTATGTCTTTGTTTTTTAATGTCTTTTTTTGTTTCCTCTCAGGGCAACGTGTCACTGAAGGAGCTGAATTTGAGGCCAATGGAGGTTTTCATGTGCAGCGTGCTGAAGAGACAAGGATATGGAGACGGTTTCCGCTGGCTCTCCCAGTATATTGACTGATCTGAGCACACAGAGACAAGTTCCACACAAAACTACCTGCTGTTGAGATATATTTGATCACACATGCTGTATACAGGACTATTTAGTGGTAGTAGTTAGAAGGTTTTACAAGAAGTGTTTTGTGTTACACTGTGTTCTGCATCAAAGATGGAGTTATGAAATCAAAGATTGAGTTATGAAAGTATCAGTTTATTCAACTCAGTTTGAAAGAAGAATAATCTTCATGCTGTAGTTTCTACATTAACTTGAAGCCCTTTGGAGAATTCAGTCTGCCATATAGAACATTCATCGCTGTGAACCAGTTTCTGACCCCAGGTTTATTTTTAGCTGCTGGTGTAGACTTTCAGTGAAGGTCAGTTTGGTTCTCATTCTGTGCTTGGAGTTCCTCTTCCTTGATTGAGGATTATGTGTTGGCACAGATAAAACATTACATCTTATTACATGCTATTTCTCTCCAGCTAATGGGGATCCCATTGTAGCATCTTTTTGTTTCTTCAAACTTCTGAATAATGTTTTTGGAAAGTGCTGCAGAGAGTTGGTGCCAATTACATGAATGTGACCACAAGTGCATTAACTGACATTTTGCTGTAGGGAGTTGTATTTAAGCACAAACTAGTGTTACATTATTGCAGTGAATGTTAACTGTATAAGCACAGCTATAGGTGGTGTAAAAAAAACTTGTCCAGAGTGAGAATGCCAAACTCCTCGTTTTTTTTAAATGGTTAATTGCTGTGAGATAACTTGAGTACTTTGTGATTAGTATAGCTGCTCAAAGGTGCAGTGATATTATGAGAGTACTCTGGTGGTACTTAAATGTATGGCAATAAAAAACATAGATTAACCTCTTACAATCTTTTTGTATATAAGCTCTTATTTATATTTTGCAATAAAAAAAATTGGTTTGCCTTATGTAATATCAAGCATTATGCTCTGAAGAGATATATCTGTTACAAAAGGTTGGTCATGTTGTTATAAAACGTGTGAAGTTTGAGCGAAATAAATATTTTTGACAATCCTTTAAATCCATCTTGTTGGATTTTTTTTTTTTTATTAGGTTGTTTTGGTTATTATTGTGTTATTTTAAATGGTTTCCACATCTAATAAGAAACATTACGTAACCATAATAGTTTAACTGAAATATATTATCATTATCAGTTGATAAATAAGACATGATACTTAGATTTACTGTCTCCTTCTTTCCCCCCTTGAAGTTGTAGAGAGTTGAGTCAGACTTGGGGGGGGGGGGGGGCTGGGTACACAGGGCCCTTGTATAGTAAAGGTTTAAAAAGCTAAAATAATGATAACCATCAATGCGGGTGGGGGTCAATTAAGAATACCTGTGCAATATAGGGCACATGGTTTTGTGAAACACCGCTGGTTGTACACATTATACCCATTAAAAAAACCTGAGTAACAATCAACAACATCAACAAAAACGTCTGCAGGACATAATAAGTTATTTTTGTAGATATACAAAGTGCATTCCTTTGATTTTATGACCTTCAGTACTAACTTCAAATGTGTTTGTTGCACTGAAAAATACATAGTTTACAGGCAACCATTAAACATTGACAATACTTTCTTGCCAAAAAAAAAGTTTTACACACCCCTGTTAAATACCGTAGGTGAGCTGGCTCCTTTTAAAGAGTTTATTATTTTATTTGTTTATTATTATATTCATATTCCCAGAAAATGTCACACTTATTTAAACGCCAAAGGTGCATAGTGAAGCCTCTGAACTAAAGCAGGCTACTGAGGTTTAGTCCCGCCTCCTTGTCCCTCCGCATTGGTTCATTCTGACCAATCACATCAATCGGTCTGCTCTGGCACGTTTGCTCGTGCACCAATGAGACTCAACCAGGAAGTTAGACGACAACCCATGTCACTAAAAACACCACTGTGAAGACTAATAACGAGGAAAAACGTTACTTTAAAAATCCTGAAGTCAGTCTGTTACGTCTTTCCAATATGGACGTCTGCTTTCTTGTCACACAAGAGGTCTGTGGTTGTTTTTAATAATAAACTGAACTTTTTTTTTTTTTAGTTTCAATGTCCTCAAAGCTGCTGCCGCTGTCGACACATGGGTAAAGTTCACCTGCACTGCTAACAACATGGAGGTTAAAGAGGTGGAGAGGTGTTGCTGTGTTGTCAACGTGTTTGAGACTGAGAAAGTCGTGAGCTGCAGCGGAGTAATCGTCCATCCTCCATCAGGAACAGTCATATGCAACGGGCTCCCTTTTTCCCGTTTCATTAAAGACAAAAAGGAGCCCCTGTCCGAAGACCTCAGGTTCCTGTCCCCTCATAGCTTCAGTGACAAACTCAAAATCAGAGTCAGCCTTTCTGCAGGACGGGATTTGGACACCGGCCACCGTGCACATGGAGACGCCTTGTCACCCTCCAGAAGAACAACAACACAACGGAGGGAGGCTGCAGCTGAGTTGCTGATGCTGGTGAACTGCCTGGAGTTCAAACAGGCTTTCCGGGCAGTTTTCCAAGAGGCTGACCAGTGGCGTTTCCATGGCGACGAAGAGGACGAGATTCTGATTAGAGATGCTCACTTCCTGAGCTGGTTCGCTGTGCTCAAAGCGGTGAAGTGGCAGACAGCAGTCAAAGTTTACGTCGGCTCGTACCCTGGCAGACTGGCTCCTCTCTCCAGAAAGGATGCCCCGTCGTTGCATGCGGCTCGCCTTTTGGCTCCCTCTGCCTGGATCTCTTCATCAGCACCCTCAGCCGAGGCATCGTCAGCAACCTTGCCGGAGATGACAACGCCGTCATCCTCACGGATGCCCGGTGTTTGCCAGGCACGGAGGGCGGAGGCGTGTTTGCGGTGAAAGGTGCTGACGAGGCGCGCCTGGTCGGGCTCATTGTGTCTCCTTTTGGCTGGAAGGCGAACGAGTGGATAGGCCTCACTTTGGTCTGCTCCGTTCAGTCGATCTTCAAGAACATCATCTGCTGCGCGAGCGTTGAAGAGCCACTTCGAGATGTGTGGCTCCACGAGGGAGATGCAGGCCTCCGCATGTCCACCACTGCCCAGGAGTCAAAAGGTTTAAAATACCCCACTGTGTGCCTCGTGGACAGTGGACAGTTCTGGGGCTCAGGTGTTGTGGTCACATCTCAGCTGGTTGTAACGTGCCGGCATGTCGTCAATGGGAAGTCGACAGTCACCCTGAAGTTTCATCACAGAGAGAGGTGACAGAACGATTACTGTCTGAGTACTTTCCAACTACAGCATTTATTGTTCAGGAAAATGTATCCCAAAATACTTTAAAACATGCTTAACATGTCATATCTGTCATTTTCATTTCACTATGTTTACGCAGCCTAGAAAAAAATACCATATATACCAAAGTTTCAGGTTATTTATATATTAAGCAATACTACAGGTCTGTTGGGCAGTGGGCCCACCAGAGAATAAACCTTCATAGAGGCAAATAAGGTGGTGAGCAAACACATCTGGAATGACCTACACAAACATGACAGTGGACATCATGTTCCTCACATTCACACCGCCTTGGTGCCCTTTCACTCAAAATGTTGGCAAGTTACAGTAAGAAAGTTGGATTTCAGGGTCCCTGGTGTGCCACAGTACATACACAGTACCAAGGTCTTGAACTGGAACGACTGATAGAGAAGTAATCATCATATTAGTCTGTGTAAAAAGATTTTGAGACCCTTAGCGTATACCTCAAAGTCAGATTACATTTTGTAATCGTGTCATGTTTTTTTCCGTGTGGCACTAGATAACTCATGTGTATTGATGTAAACTTTACAACATATTATCACAAGGTGAAATGTCAACATCTAAGCTATTTTGATTGGCAAGTGGTCATTGATGAGCTCTTATTACTTTGTACTTCATCTTGAGTAGAGGTGCAATTAATTAACCATAATATTTGAAATATGTCCTGTTCTATCCTTGCAGAGTCCTTGATGTTGTGGGTGATGTGCTGTTTTCCACCAGAGCGTCGTCCCCCTATGATTTGGCTTTTGTGCAGATGAGAGACGCTGTCAAACATGCTGTGGTCCCCCAAATGGCACAGAGTTTTAGTCCAGGTTTGACTACATTCTTATTAAGCAGAAGCAGTAGACTTAATTCTTGCTTCTCATAAAGTGTCAGAGGTGATATAAATCTTTACACAAACTAAAAACTGTTAAACTATAGATGTTCAGCTAGGTTTCTCTGCCCACAGGTGAGTCTGTTGTTGTGGTGGGATATGGAGGGTTGGGTCGGAGAAGTGGTCCGTCCCTGACCTGTGGTATCCTCTCTAAAGCCATTATCTTGAATGACCAGCCTGTCATGCTTCAGACCACTTGTGCAGTACAAGCAGGGGCCAGCGGGGGCGCTGTGGTGCACAGATACACAGGAGAGCTGCTGGGTAAGAATCCCTGCAACTACAAAATCATGTACTCGATTTGATCAGTGGGGGGCATAAGGTGACCACGGATTACTTCGCTGTAATCATGCACCATATGTGAAGGGAAAAGGCATTTATAAACATCACACTGCTCTCTTAGCAGTTCTATATTTGAAATTTGACATGTGCAAAGTACAACTAATCATTATTTTGTGTTTTGCAGGTATTGTGTCCAGCAACACAAAGGACATGGCTTCCAAAGTGACCTACCCACACCTGAACTTCATCATCCCAGTGACTGTGTTCCAGAGATTGTTGCAGCAATTTCGCCACACAAGAGATGTCAATGTTTTCAGAGCGCTGGACGAAGCAGAAAAAGAAGTCAGACGGGTGTGGAGGCTACAAGGTGCTCCAAGCAAACTATGACAGAAGACTCCTTCATGAGGAGGTCTGCTACAGAAAAAAAGCTGGATGGTTAAATCAGCATGGATAATTATGCAAAATTACATTAGATAATTAAATGAATATAATGTTTGTATTTTTAACAAAACTGTTATTTTGTAATATAAAGTTTACTTTGTCATACCTCACTTTGTTACAGACACAGTAAGTGAAAGATCTAAGGAAGCATATGCAACTAAAGCCAGAATCATTAATGCTTAATGATGATACCCAGAAACATTCAGAAAACAATATGAAATATTAAAGGACCTCTTGGTGGTAACAGCAAGTTAAAGTGACATTGAAACATGTTTTGATTATTTTTATGAAATGTAATATACAGACATGTAATTAAATGAATACCATCGATTATTCTGATGATAAGTCAGTGTGTCCTGGGTACATTCCTGTGCACAATTTCCACAAAATGCCCACATTATCTCAACTAAGAGAAGACTCATTTCCTACATTCTTCGATGTGAAGTCAAAGGTATCAGACACAAAAATTCCATTGGGTTTCACATTTAACATCTTATCCTTTACAGTTACAGCATCAAGACAAGATGAGACATTTTCCCTGGGAGGCACGTGTTAGGATTTACACCTGGTCCTGTTACATATGGCTTATTTTTCCACCAAGCAGGAGGAATATTCGGCTTAAGAGGCTGACAGGTTGCTGGAAATGATTGGTCCCTTTGGGTAGCCAGAAGTCTTGCTGTCAGTATCAGGTACTCAGACATCTGTTGGCAGGCAAACCCACTCACAGCTAACATATTTAAGCATTCATCCACTGGGATATTACTGGTACTAATTTACCTTATAACTGAAATGTGAAACTGAAAATGACATTTCAGAGGACTGGTTACTGTCAGGTTTTTTTTACACTGCTATGACAAGCTTTCTTGGCTAGTGCTCCCATGAAGGTGTATACTATTGTAAGTTTCTATTTCACTGTTCCCAGACTGAATAATTCACAGTAGAGAGGCTGGAGCAATGTCCTGAGGAGGTTGAGGATTTTAATATATAGGCATTGTGCTGTTAAAAGTGCTGATATGCAGACTCAGGTCTGTATCTTATTTCGGCTGGTTTCCCAAAGCTATGAGCTACACTCCACTGCAGGATGAGGTAAAGTGAGAGTAAAAGTGCGCTGACAATAACATGCATCATGCAACATAGGACAGTTGTGGTTTTGATTGGAATTGTTCAAGTCGAGCCCTGCAGAAATG